CGTAAAACCTGTTTTCGTCACAGAAAAGATTACTTTCCAAACAAAAAAAATATATTATGCAGCAAGAGCATTTGCTAAGAGAAACAAATATTCATTTTGCTGGATTTCACATGGTAAAATTTATTTAAGGCTTAAAGAAGGCGCCCCCTATGTTCGAGTCAGCAGCGAGAGTGACTTAGTCTCGATCGCTGACCAGTGACTATATCATAGAATACTCTTTTATAACTTTTGTTTTTTAGTTTTAATCATAACATTAATATCTAACTGTAGTAATATTGATTCACTTTTGCATTGTAACTATAATTACCGTTTTAATTTTTTTAGATCACAAAATCAACATTACATTTTATACATACAAAATCTATACTCACATCACACTGATGGCTGTTACATTATTTTACACCAATATAATTTACAATCACATGCATATATACATCTTATACAAAATGCATATTTTATAATTTTGCAACAAATATTTTATACAACATATTCATATAACATATACAAACATTATACAGACACTGCACAGGAAACTTTTACAATAAATTGCATCAATGAGATTTACAATCAAATTCTTAATATTTTATACTTTTATGGACTATCTGACAAACTTTACAACATTAACACTATTTATCTTAACATTAAACAGAAACATAACTGAAGTAGACTGTTCTGTAACTCTGGATATAATTGGATATAGTAGCACTAGAGTTACATTATTAATTCCTGAGTTATCAGCGAGTGCTAGGGTCAACATAGGTTTATTATATTATGTTTCTAAATGTACAAAAGTTCTGAACATCTTTCGTCCCGGTTGGCGCAATGTGTAACATGGAGGACTACTGTTGTAGCTTAGATGAGGATATGTTTCGATCTTTATCTTGTGCAGTGGAGGATTTCAATAAGTATACACCACTGTCCAAAACCGCACTTTCTATCTTGACGTATCACTTTCTTCCAAAATAACTCACAATCAAAATGATGGAATTGTAGTCTTTGTTAAGAAAGACTTACACTTTTCAGTAGATGAACCTGATTTTCATAAGGGAAACTGTCTTCTTATCACTCTGGGAACAGAAACTGCTATTTTAGCTGTCTATAGACCGCCTGCTTTTAATTTAAAATCCGACATTGATCTATTCATCTCATCGGTTGGTACGCAGTTAGAGAAATTATCCTCATATAACAATATTATACTTGCAGGTGATATAAACTTGCCTTTAAACTCTAATAAACTAGATAATAATTTTGAAAACTACCTGAATCTCACTACTTTCTATGGTCTCTTGCCAACACATACCCTTGTTACAAGAGATCAAAGTGGAACATGTATTGACCATATTTTGCTTAAATCTAAATTGGATTCTTTGACAATTGTTCCTGATTCCACTGTTACTGACCATAAAGCAGTTGGTTTCTTCCTCCATTCTCAACCTAGTAGGAACGACTTACAGCGCACTAAAAAGAATATTAATGTACAGGGATTAAACTCCGATATTTTAAATATTGATCCTGGACCTATATGTAGCTGTGATGATCCCAATTTTCAAGTGAGCTATTTTATAAATCAAATAAAACACGCAGCTGATCAAAATACTAAGATAGTTACAATCCCAAGGTCGAAAAGAATCATTAAACCCTGGATTACCCCGGGGCTGCTGAGATGTATTAGGTTCAGAGACAGATTACATTCTAGAACTAAACGGGATCCTGCGGATGAAACTCTTAAGCTTACTTATATTCGATAGAGAAAGGGTTTAGCCGGATACGTATGACGAGTCGGCCCCCAAATGGGAATCGATATTGAAACTTATGTTTTAATATAGACTTGATGTTCAAACACGATTTATGTACTTTTCGCGACCGACTTCCGCTTTGACCTTGAGATAGAGAGCAAAATACCCGTATGCTTGACTATTACTGAATGTGATATATCTCTGAAGCTAATTAAGATAAAGAAGTGAAACTAACGCGAGGTGTTAGGTTACATTACAGAGTATATCACATATATTTTTTTATAATTTTTAGAATAAAAAATTACATTAAAAAAATAAAAAATAAAAAAAATCATGTTTTTTTTCTGAGTTCTCTGTGACTTACAATCACGAAATTAATATATGTTATGCTCCTTTGTGTGCTCTATTACCCATAAAAATTGCGTGAAAAAAAAGTTGGTGCAACACAACGAAAAAAAATTATATGTGATTTCTGTCTTATGGTATACCCCTGTATTATAAGGTTTTCACATTACATCATTGTTTTTTTTTCGAAATTTCACATCAGCTTGTTTTAAAACATAAGTAACTAGTCTTAAGAGATGGGATAATAGTTAAAAAAGAAATGAAAAAAAAAAACAGCCAGTGTTCAATAATTATTATTATTACTTTTTCGTGTCTATCAAAATACAAGAAACAAAATATTAATCATCGTCACTGTTGTAATTAATTACAATCGGAACACTTTGAGTCGCAAATAACTTAGTTAGGACCTCATCAGGACTTACGATTTTGGACAAATATCGTCCATATGATAGATAATAAATAATAGCTGCTACATGAGAACAGCATCCCACTGTACGTTCGCCATTGGGGCAATCACAGCAATAACGAAGAATACTATTGTAGTCATTATCTTCGGAAATATAGTGAATGTAAATTCGATAGACTTTTCTATTTATATGTCTTGATTTTACTTCTGCTTTGATGATATTAGGTGCTGATTTCACATATTGTACTGAGAGATTATTTTGATCGTCCATTATTTCGGCCAAGTTAAATGCTGCACATTTAGAAGTAGAAGCTTTTTTGTTAATATATGGGATAAGTCGACACTTCTTACAAAAAATATCATTAACTATTACGATTTTATTTAAACAGTCACTAAACACTTTAGCTTCTTCTTCATTCTTTATAATTTTTTTATAACCAGGAATCTTACACAGGTACTTGTTACAATTTTTACACTTTCTCGACATTATTACTTAATAATGATTTGGTTCGATAGTTAATAATTTCAAAATGCTGATACAAAATACCTATGACAGAATTTGAGTCCCAAACTGCCTTCTTGTGTAATACAAATGACTGCTACTTTAGCTAAACAAACGATGCAGTAAACAGCTCGATAACAAGTTCGAACTTGTTTGTTTATACACTCACACTACAAGGCGCGAATCACATATAATTTTTTTTCGTTGTGTTGCACCAACTTTTTTTCCACGCAATTTTTATGGGTAATAGAGCACACAAAGGAGCATAACATATATTAATTTCGTGATTGTAAGTCACAGAGAACTCAGAAAAAAAACATGTTTTTTTTTTATTTTTATTTTTTTAATGTAATTTTTTATTCTAAAAATTATAAAAAAATATATGTGATATACTCTGTAATATAACCTAACACCTCGCGTTAGTTTCACTTCTTTATCTTAATTAGCTTCAGAGATATATCACATTCAGTAATAGTCAAGCATACGGATATTTTGCTCTCTATCTCAAGGTCAAAGCGGAAGTCGGTCGCGAAAAGTACATAAATCGTGTTTGAACATCAAGTCTATATTAAAACATAAGTTTCAATATCGATTCCCATTTGGGGGCCGACTCGTCATACGTATCCGGCTAAACCCTTTCTGTAATAATCTACTGAAAAGAATAAAGAGGCAATATGATAAAGATCAAATACAAAAAGCTGGTAACAATAACAAAAAGATATGGGAGGTCATTAAAAACATAACCTATAATAGTGATAATAAGGGCAATGCGAATGAACTTTTAACTATATCTTCAAATCCTGAACAATCTATAGATAGAGTAAATAATTATTTTGTTAATATTGGTAGAGAACTTGTTAATAAATTCAGTGGTACGAATCATGTGGCAAACTGTAACCAATCCGGAATGTCATCGGTGGATTCATTTGTTTTGTTGGAGACTGACGAGGCGGAGGTTACAAATTTGATCATGAATCTAAAGAATGACAGTGCTGCTGGTTGGGACGGTATATCAAATCAGCTGTTAAAAACTCACAAGGACTTTCTTGTTCCACATTTAACGTACATCATTAATAACTGCCTGCATTGTGGTGTTTTTCCTAAAGTCCTAAAAAAGTCTATCATTATCCCAGTTCATAAGGGTGGGGACAGAGCCTGTGTCTCTAATTACCGGCCTATCTCAATATTGCCCTCTATATCAAAAATTTTTGAAAAGATTATTAATGTGCGACTAGTTGATTACCTCGAAAAAAATAAAATTCTCTCTGAAAATCAATTTGGTTTTCGAACTGGTAGGTCGACAACTGATGCTATGCATGAAATGGTCGACTTTATTACTAATAAACTAGACGAGGGTAATAAATGTATAGGGATTTTTTTGGATCTGGCAAAGGCCTTTGATACGGTCTCTGTTCCTATTCTTTTGAAGAAGTTGCAAGGGATTGGAATTCGTGATTACCAATTAAAATTATTTGAGAATTACCTTTCTGAAAGATACCAATCCGTTAACATTTCTGGATTCTCTAGCAGCGAGTCATTGATAACACACGGCGTCCCCCAGGGGAGCATCTTGGGTCCCACTCCTTTTCTTGTGTATATCAACGAGCTCTGTCAATTAAATCTCAGTAATGGAAAAATTGTGACCTATGCAGATGACACGGTCCTTATGTTTTCAGACAGAAATTTGAGTGGGACCTGTGAGGCTGCTCAAAATGGGTTAAATCGAGTAAATGCTTGCCTGAGTTCAAACTTTTTGACTCTAAATGCGGACAAAACCAAATGTATTTTTTTCACAATACGCAATACTTCAAGTGACTCGCTGCAATTTCGCAAGCTCCGCTTACATACTTGCAGCCTTCAAATCGCTGATAACTGTTACTGTGCAGTGATTAATTATGTTAATGTCATTAAATACCTTGGTGTCTCATTTGACAATAATATGTCCTATAAAATACATGTTCGAAATCTATGTGGCAGGGTGAGAAAACTTATAGCTACCTTTAAGATACTACGACATGTTCTTGAACCTGTGCATCTCAAACGAGTTTACCTGGCATTAACGGCGGGTAGTTGAAAGTGAAAGTCGAAAATTTTTTGCTCTTGAATTTAAAATTAATTAAAAATCAAATACATTAATTAAAATCAATATTATCAGCAGATTTTAATGTTAAGATAATATACCCACCTGTCCAGTGTTATCTCCTAACATAATTCACACACACACCATGGAACAAGCAAAACAGTCTGTTTATGATATCATGACACTGTTTAACGAAAGGATGTCTGCATTTGAAGCTGAGCTACGGAAGACACCTCCTACTACAACTAGTTCAGCTATTGAGGTGGAATTTCGCTCCTTCAAAAGTTTCATCGTTGAAGTCCTCAACAACTTACAGCGACAGCTGGAGGTTCTGGCGCACAATGGTGATCGGTTGGAAATGAGAAGTCGCCGTAAAATGGTATTGCTGCATGGTGTGCCTGAGAGTGAGTCAGAGGATACAGCTCAGATTGTGGTGCAGGTTGTGAATAACAAGTTTAATCACAGCACTTTCAAACTGAGTGACATTAAGCGCTGCCAGAGAATGGGACAGTCAGCTGGTGCTCACAAACCTAGACCCATCATCGTCAAATTTCACTACGTCATGCTCCGGGACAAGCTATGGTTTGACAAAACGAAGCTCAAAGGAACCGGCATCACTCTCTCGGAATTCCTTACGCGAACGCGTCATGTTACATTTATGGCAGCACGAGAGCGCTTTGGCTTGAACAAATGTTGGACCAGGGAAGGATATATATACATTCTCGGATCAAATAACTCAAAGCATCGCATATCCACCATGAGCGAACTCCTTAAAATCGAGCAAGCATTGTCGAAGCCGGCTGCTGTTATACCGAAGTTACTACCGAAGGCTAGACGGGTAGCAACAAAGAAATAGGTTTCTTTTGTTGTATTTTTAAGTAACAAACTGTCACCATCACTATGAAGGTACATACTTAATTATTTTTCTACTTTTGTTATTAAAATTATCACAGAAATTGCAATAGCGTCAACAAAGTCAATGTCACTATGTCAATGTCAAATCACCTGTTAACGTCACTCACATGGTTTTGTTGTCCTTAAGCGCAAGGGGAATCATGCACATGCAGCCTTTTAAATGAAATGAATATATAAATAACATTGAGATGTCCCAACTTGCGCATACGATGTGCTGTATGTACCTTTCTTATTATTGTCCTTGTTTTATTATTATTATTATTATTTTTGTTTGCTTTGTTCGTATAAATCAATTCTGTGGTGTTGTATTGTAATTTATTTTATTTTAACTGTTATACTTTTTGAGTCAGCAACCATACTAGGGCAACTCACACATTACATAATTTATATACCTGATTAGAAATGTTGCACTGGTACTGGTTGTTCATTAGCACCGTGATTGTTTTTTCAACTTTTGTTTAGAACATTATTTTGATCTTCTACATGCAACTGGCAGATGGAAGTTGTGGATTTAAATAAACCCATTTTTAGTATTTAAATATTGTGTATAGGTTGATATATACATATATTTTATTTTATTTTTACATATATATTATTTTTATAAATATTTTTAATAAATATATTTTTATTAATTCGGTATTCCATATATGGACGACAGTGATGATAATGCAGATAGTTTTTTATCAGCTTGCAGCAATGATAGCTTTTCTAGCTTACCTTCGCTTAATGATGTCATCATATCGCATTTTTCTGATGTTCCAAATAACTTAAATGTTATTCATATCAATGCCCAAAGCATTCCAGCCCATTTTACAGACATGCTGACTAGTTTTGACTGTAAAGATATCCACGCCATTCTTGTTTCCGAATCCTGGCTAAAGCCATGTCTTCCTTCAACTTTATACTCCTTACCGGGTTTCCAGTTGATCAGAAATGACCGTGCTTCTGGTGGGGGAGGTGGAGTTGCTATATATCTTAGATCACATATTCCATACCATGTACTTAACATGTCACCACAGCCGCCGCCACCTAGCGCAGGGGAGCACTTATTCCTAGAGGTAACTCTGCGGCATACTAAAATCCTGCTTGGAGTATACTACAGCCCATCATATCGCGTGGATTTTTTCTCTTCCTTTGAAAATATATTGCAATCTCTTACCCCTTCTTACAGTCAAACAATTATTATGGGCGACTTTAACACTTGCCTTCTCAAGAAAGACTTTCGCTCTTCAGCATTGTCCACTGTCATCGAGTCTAGTAACCTTTTCATTCTACCATTAAATGCTACTCACCATTTCCCTAACTGTACTCCTTCTCTTCTCGATCTTGTTTTTGTCTCTTCCTTAGAGAGTGTCGCTAAGCATGGGCAATGTCCAGCTGATGCCTTCTCTTATCATGACCTTATCTTTGTCTCTTATAAAGTTAAACCTCCGAGGGAAAAAAGAAAAATTCTTCTTCAGCGCAATTTTAGTGGTATGGATATCAATAGTCTCCGACATGATGCTCATAACATTGATTGGACTCAATTATATGCATCTAAAACAGTTGATAAAAAGCTTAACTATCTAGTTGCACAACTGACTCAGTTGTTTGATGTACATGCCCCGATACGCTCCGTAAAGATTAAGCATCCCCCTTCACCTTGGCTTAGTGAAGATATTAAAGCGTTAAGTCACCTTAAAGCTGTGGCCAAAACTAAGTACAAACATAAGCCCACTAGCGCAAACTGGGAGAAATTCGTTGAAATTCGTAATCGCTGCAATAGAGTATGTAGGAAAGCACAACGCCACTACATCCACAGTTCCGTCGAAATTAACTCTATAGGGATCGGGAAATCTCGACAAACGGCTTTACCTAGTATCATTGATATAAATTTATTAAATCAACATTTTTCCTCGTCACCTCAATTTGACGAGACCACGAAAGCAAATACCATTCAATCAATTTCATCTCTGCCCCGCCCTAATCATGATTCTTTCTTCATTAATCAATTCTCTGAGTGTGATGTTAAAAAGAGCGTCTTGTCAATTACCTCTAATGCAGTGGGTAATGACTGTGTCAGCCGGAAAATGGTAATACCAATCCTCGGTGAAATTCTTCCTGTGCTTACACATATATTTAACTTTTCTATATCTGTTAGTGAATTTCCGTCATCCTGGAAAGAAGCTCAAGTTACACCACTTCCTAAGAAATCTAACCCTGTCTTCCTGTCTGATTATCGTCCCATATCCATCCTCCCATTCCTATCTAAAGTCCTTGAGCGTCTTGTTCACAACCAACTTAGCGTATTCCTAGTTAAAAACAACCTTATGAATCCCTACCAATCAGGTTTCCGACCAGGTCACAGCACTACTACTGCCCTTATCAACATAACGGATGATATTAGGCTAGGAATGGAAGCTGGAACCATCATGATCTTATGTCTACTAGACTTTAGCAACGCATTCAACACTGTTGATTTTGACGTTTTGCTTCAAAAATTACACTCTATTAACATTTCTCCACCAGCAGTTGATTGGTTTCGAAGTTACCTGTCTGGACGCCGGCAGCGCGTCCGCGTTGAAGATTCTTTCTCTTGTTGGTGTGACTTAACTGCCGGGGTGCCGCAGGGTGGCGTTTTATCTCCTCTTCTTTTTGCTGTTTATATTAACACAATTTCTTGTCAGTTACTTTCTTCCTACCATCCTTATGCAGACGATTTGCAAATATATACGAAAGCCCCCGCTGAAGATATTAATTCTGCCATTGAAAGTCTTAATAAAGATTTAGCTCAGATTTCTGAATGGAGCCGCAAACATGGGCTTTGGGTGAATCCCACGAAAACCCAAGTTGTCGTAGTGGGCAGCTCAAGGCTTAGAGCTAAAGTAAAGTTTGAACAGATCCCGCAAATAGTGTTCGATGGAAGCTCCTTACAATTTAGTGATCATGTTAGAAATTTAGGTCTATGTATTGATAAAAACTTAAATTGGGATGTGCAACTCAAGGAAGTGAGTTGCAAACTTTTTGCATCTGCCGGGTCTTTAAGAAGGCTTCGCAATTTCTTGCCTACTGCCACTAAAATTGCGCTCACACAATCTCTTCTAATGCCCATTCTCGATTACGCCGACGTCAGCTATCTTGACCTTACAGAAATGCAGCTGAACAAGCTTGAGTGCCTTCAAAATTTTTGCATAAGATTCATATTTGGATTACGCAAATATGATCACGTTTCCGAATTTCGTGAGAAACTCAAGTGGCTGCCAATTCGATTTCGCCGGAATGCACATATTTTAAACATGTTATTTAATATACTTTTTAATCCCACTACCCCTTCTTATCTCAAAGATCGTTTCAAATTCGTCAAAGAATCCCATCCCCGCTTCTTGAGATCATCAGAAAACCTGCGGCTGGAAATGCCAATACATTCCACTAGGTACTACGATAAATCTTTTACCGTCCACGGTGTACGCCTATGGAATGCGCTACCGTTGTCGATTAGAAAAGCTAATTCTCTTAATATATTTAGGAAACTTGTCAGAGAGCACTACCTGTCCATGAAAGTATGTATATAGGTATTATATATGTTTATATATGTATTATACTTTATATGATAATATTTATTATATTATAGTATATGTAGGAAAATTATAATTAAGTATATAACAATTATCAATTATGTATATTTATAAATTGTTTATTTGTACACCATCCACTACCCCATCATTAGGTCTTTTATATTAAACTCCATCCCAAGGTTGCCTGGAAGAAATCACTTTTAGTGATAAGGCCGCCAATTGTACGTCTCCTGTTTTTGTCATATAAATGTATATTGTCTTTGTGTGTGCAATAAAGAATATTCTATCTATCTATCTATCTCTATGTCAATCTATACTAATCTACGGTATAACTATCTGGGGAGGGATGCCAAAAACAAATTTGAAATGTTTGGAGGTGGCTCAGCGATCAGTTTTGAAGGTTTGTACTTTTAAACCATATCTGTATCCCACCAGCTTTCTGTTGAAATTTTGCGAAGTACTTAGCGTCAGAGGGTTGTTTTTATTATTTACTGTCTTGAAAAAGTACGCAGAAATTGACTTTGACCAATCAAACTCTCAGAGACGGCGTAAGGATATTGTTTGCAGACATAAACGAGGTTGCCGAACAAGTTTCGCTAAACGTTCTTACATCTTCCTTGGAAACTTTGTTTATAATAAGATATATTACCATTGCCCATTTGAATAAATACGAGTGCAAGAGGAAAGTCACTAGCTTTCTTCTTATTCTTGACTACGATAAGAAGGAACAGCTACTTACTACAGTTTCATAATAGAATACATCAAATAAAATCTCATACTCATACACTCAATCATACAATCTTAATTTATTTATACAAACATCATTTCAACGCACACATATACATTCACACACACACACACACACACACACACACACAAATAGTTATAAATAAATATTTTTTATATATATATAGTTAATATAAATAGTTTCTAGTAGAATAAACAAAACATTAATATAAATTGTAACTTTATAAGTAATAATATTATCTTCATTAGGTCTAATTGGGGTAGTTGCGCTGTCTTGCCAGATGACAGGGTGATAACCACCTTAGTTTGGCAGCAGATGCCTTATACGAGTAAAACTTATTTTAATTATCGTATGATTTCAATAATGTTAATATTATTAAGTTTATACTACTTGTATATTTAGGAAAATGTTGTTATTGGAAATAAAGATTATTATTATTATTTTTGTATTTAAAAATTTACTCTTCCCGACCCCTCGACGATTCGAGAGGCGGGAGGATTCCCCCCGGCAGAGGGGGCCAGACGGCCGGGGGTCAGGGCGACAAAGAGAGAAAACCTCGCAATCATTGGTCCGTCACGGAGTCCCAACCTCTTCAGATGGTCGTGAAGAGAAGTTGGGACTAGGCCATTCGTTGACACTACGACTGGGATGATCTCAGTGGATGACACTCGCCACATATCGGTAACCTCGTGCGCCAGGTTCAGATATTTAAGTTTTTTATCTGATTCGGCTTTCACGAGGTTTTCATCGAATGGGACGGTGACATCCACTAAGAACAGCCGAGATTCCGCCCGGTCCATCAGTACGATATCAGGCTTGTTCGCAGGAACAGTCCTGTCCGTAATGACGGACCGGTCCCAGTACAATCGAGCGCGGTCGTTTTCAAGAACTGGCTCCGGCACATACTTATAGTACGGCACCTTTTCGCCTATGAGGCCGTATTTGAAGGCTAGCTCGAGATGCAGTATTTTGGCTGCTTGGTCATGTCTGTGCAAATACTCGGTATTAGCCAGTACAGGACAACCGGAAGTAATATGCCTGAGTGACTCACCGGGCTGGTGACAGGCTCTACAAACGTCCTCTGTCCCATCCTTCAGGATATACTTCCGGTAGTTTCGGGTCATAATGACCTGGTCCTGTATTGCACAGACAAAACCGTCGGTTTCCCGAAAGAGGTCCCCGAAGCGCAGCCAATGCACGGAGGCTCTCGGATCCACATGACGCTCGTGTAGCGCCTTGTAGAACCTACCGTGCAACTCCTCCTCCCTCCAAACGGCCTCTCGGTCAGTGGTGCTAAGTACTGCTGGTTCTCGCCATTGCTCGGTGGCCAAAGAGAGAGGGGTAAGTCCTACATCACATGCTTTGACATCTCTATGCAACTCACTGGAT